GTTCTCCGAAGTCTGGTCCATGTCTGAGGTGCGAGACGTCTGGCCGCAGCTCCACAAAGACGCGGAGAAGTACATAGCCTGCTTCGAGACACTGCGCAGCTAGCCCTGCTCCAGATGGCGCGCAGCTGGCTTGGCCACAAGTACCTTTCTTTCACTATGCCCGCAGGCTCAGACGACACTCCCACCAAAGCGGAAGTGGTTAAGCTTTTCTCCACAGCCTGGCCGCTCAGCCTTTTCCTTCGCCTCGTGCCTCCTGGTCTCATGCCCACTCCGTAGCCTTGCTAGTTTCCCACGTCAGGGAAAAAGAACGTGTGGGCAGACGAGCTGAGCAGAGACAAGCTCGACAGGTTTGCTCAAAGCCCTTAGCCGCTTCAGCTTGACGCTCAGCCAGCTGTGCCAGCCAGCACCCCCCCACGCAAGGTGGAGGGAAAATTTTGTAGACTCAGTCTTCTGAACAAGCCATCTCGGGCGGACGCAAAACAGCGACCCTCACTTGCCAGCCTGTTGCGCAGCAGCCTTATCTTTTGCAGGCAGCCCGGCAATCGCAACATAGCCTTGCACTACTGTGCTCTACGGCTGCCGCGAACACAGCTTGTTTTCAGCTGGAAGTGCCTTGTCCACCTCAGGTCCCACTTCGGCACCCCCCTTTGAGGGACCGCAATTTCAGTTAGTTTCTGCGCACGCAGTTCTCACGCGGAAAGGGATCGGAGCAAGACCGCAGCCTCCCGCAGGGACAGGGTTGCTTTGAGTCACTAAAGACGGAGTAGAACCCGAAGGAGACCGGCAGCGCACTTAGGACAGAGTCCTAAGAGAGTCCAAAGCCGAGCCTACTTGGGTTGGCTCACACAAGTTGAGTGTGGTTCTTCAACTAAGTTTCACATGGCCTTTGAAGAGGGCTTGAAGAGGCTTGAAGGGGGCTTGAAGGGCTGGAAGCAGGCTTGAAGGATGCTTGCAGGTTTAAGGGTCTGAAGGGAGCTGAAGGGAGACTTCAAGGGAAGGGTTTTTAACGAAAACTTCAAAAGTCAATGACATCTAATTCTAACATGCAAACATGAATTACTGATTCAATTAGGTCTCGATCTTACAAAAAGCAACACAGCACTGAATGTTGCAATTATATAAGAAGTCTTGAAAAAGCTTAAGGTGGCTTGAACCCGGCGTTGGGCATCGTTCTATTCTGATATTACACCCTCTTTCGCGCTCGCGCCTACTTCGGCTTTGGATCTTTCTGACTTAGAGCCTTCCGTTGCCTTCGAACTGGAGTATCGCAGAACAAGATCCGGTGTTGCCCGGAATTTTACAAGAAGTTGCGTTTGGCTTGCGATTCGTCAATCTGTTCCCGTGGCACCAATGGATTCTGCCGCATCTCTGGACATTATTCGCTTTCCATTTTGGCGGATGTTTGCAGAGAAGCCCACTTCGCAATTCTGTTTCGCACTTAAGTGGCTTTTCTTTGGATACCCGCTCTGCTCACAAGACCATTCGGCCAGGCCTTCGGGAACTGCAACTCTCTGGCTTCAGCTTTGTGCGGACTTGTGAATCTCATGCATGTCTGCTGCCACTGCTTCTGGGCCCAAGACTATGAGCCCACTACAGGTCTTACTTACTTGGCAAAACTTTTCCCGCCCTCTCAACCCTGTTTCTTGCCCGACAAGTCTTAGCCTTGCCGCCCAGGTTGAGACGCCGAGTCGTGAGCCTGCAGTTCTGTTTCACCAGCCTGCTTAAAACCCTATCAGTGCTGATCAGGGACCAAAGAGAACGCCTTTCTCACACAGCTGCAGCCTTAGCTGAGCACGTCGCAACGCAGAAGCCGGTTAGCACGCCTGCTGCAAGGCCCGCTGGCCTGCATAAGCCCTCGCCAGGGCAGCGCACTCAGGACAGAGATCCTAAGAGACCAAAGTCTAGCCTACTTAGGTAAGCTCACACACGCTAAGTGTGGTTCTTAAAGAAGTTTCACATGGTTCAGTCCAGAGTTTTCTGGTCGTTTCTCACAAGGGGGATCGACCAAGGAGACTTGGGGCTTGAAGTCTCGATTCTTTCAAGCCCTCCTTTGCAGAACACTCAGAGCACCCAGAGAAAAAGAAGTCAAGCGACCGCGACAACAGAAGAGTGAAGTTGAAGAAAAAGAACAAATATATGTGCTAAGAAAATACAGGGAGCCACGAATTTCAGGCATGGCACGAAAGGTCGGCACGCTTTTCCGAAAGTAACCGAAGCATCAAATGCACAAAGATTTGTATGCAGTCTGTTTGTTTGAAAACCAAGTTCAAGCTCCCTGGATCAATATATACCTGAAACACAACACGGAAAACCAGCATCAGAGATGGCCGGCAGAACGCGCTCGCACGAGCCAATACTGTCAATCCAGCATAAACGGTACCTTGTCTGCAACATGTTGTCACGCGTATTATCAACACACACCGCGGATAAATCCCGAAAAAAAAGTGCAGCATGCAGCCAAGTGTCCGAAGAAAATGCAATTTTGGAAATTATAATTTTGCATACAAAGGCGCCTTTTCCCAGCTGTGCGTGTTTTGTGCTGTTTGTTTTGTAAGCTGCTTGATGTCTTGATTTTCTCAATTGTTCGACATTAGTGCTGTTAAAATGACCGCTTGGCTATTTGCATGTTTGGTACACACGAATGGTTTTGACGGTATTTGCTGCAAATGTTCCGACACGGCCATCACACCCACACGGACGATAGCATTCAAGATGAGAACACTTATGCTACAGACCTAAATGATGCCTGATTGCGCATGAAAGAACTTAGAGCAAGCTGCACTAACTCTGCACGCGCGCTGCATGTTCTGTACATGAACAAGAGTGACTGCGTTGGCAGCACGGAAGCATCTATGGATGACTTAAAATACCCGATAAAGCTCCCACATTTGGTGACAGGTCTGATAAACTGCGGGTTAGCTGAGACGCGTTCGTCAGCTGGTTTGGCCTGCCTCGGAAAGAAAGTGCTCACTAGAACTTCTTCAGCTCTCTTTGATGTTCTCTCAAACTTTCGCTTAGGCCCTCTTAAGTCTCTCTCAAGCGTTGCCATTACTTCGTCTTTTATGGGCGTTTTTCAGCGTAAGCCATTCAAGCCACCATGTCCGACAAAGACACGGTCTATGTTTAAAAACGAACCTGTTGGAAAAACTGAGCGACTTTACGGACGAAACGCACTTGATGCATGAGCAAGGTTCCCGTGTGGGTGTAAGGTATGTATCGGAGTGTTATGGTCTCCATACCATGCTCGATTCGTGTTCATACCGAAGCAAGGACTTTCACGACTCGCATCCACACAGGCTGGACACAGAATAAAAACGGCCGATGATCCAGAGCATTGGTCTGGCTTCTAACATACCTTTCGCGCCTTGATCCCGGAATTCAAGAGCTTTATGAACTGAATAAGACATGTTTGGAAAACAGTTATGGTCACACCACACGAACTTGATTTCATTTCAACATGTTAAAACCATTCGCTTGACAAGTAAACCACAATCGCAATCTGGATTGCGAATTCCACCGGCATGCTGAAAAATCATTGGATCACATTACGTGTTTAACATCCGGAAGAAAAATTTCTTTGCTGCCAGGCGGTCAAAACACTTGACTAGACAAATCAAGCCAAATTTTTAGAACAATAACACTTGCTTTAAAGAACGCATCGCAATTCTCTTGGTTTTTCGGTTTCGAGTAGTCTCGAAAGCACCACATTCAAATGATGCAAAAATTGAACAAACGATCATACTAAAACAACTCAGCATGCAAAGCCATCGGAATTTTTCGCCTAGAATCCGCATGCCGTGTGTGGGCCATATCGGAAAAAAACTCCAGAAACAACAAATAGGCAGACGGCATGTTGTCAGAGGGCACGTTCTGCGGTCGCCGACCAGTGAGGCCGGTACCTGATTAATGCATTGCTGCCATAATATTACCAGAAAGCTACCTCCTTCCATTGCCTGCCAACCATCCGTGTCAAATGCGGATGAGCATTTGCGAAGGAACTGAAAAATTTGAAAGCCATGTACGTGTTGTATTTAATGTCCAGTAAGTATTTTCGCTTCTTGTAGTGGTAAGTGTTGAGGCTTTAAATAGCCAAGCATTCGGAAACACTGTGAGCTTCGTCTTGGTACTGGCTGCAAGGCTGCTCGAAAGTGCTCCCAAAAAGCAGGTCTCGATTTTCATTGTTAATGTGACTTGTGCATGATTTTGCAATCCTGCGTCTCTCCTTTAGAAGCACAACATCTGAATCTGTGTTGACTCTTTTTTGCAACAATGTTGTGAGTTTGAACGCATGTTGTGTTGACAACGGGTTGTTGCTGCGGCTTCTGATTGCTCAATCCATGATGCAAGATGGGTTTGTCGATTCTTTACTAGTTTCCTTATTGTCCTTCCGTGCTTCACGGTCAAAGAGGCGAGCTGAGGGTTTAATTATATCTATATATATAAATATGTATATCTATATTTAAAGCCCTCAATATGACCCTTAAAATGAACCTTCATATTTGCTGACCTTGAAGCTTGCGGTGTGTGCAGAGAATTCTCTCACGTCAGAGGACGTCATTCAAGATCAGGGTACCTTCGCAGTTGGCAAAGGATGCTCTTTGTTGCCGTTTCGTGCAAGTTCCTCATTTGTCTTGGGTGCATCAGGCGTGTTGGCCCAACATGGACCCTCGCACTGTTCTGGGCTTGGACCTATCCCGGCCAACTTCAAAATGTTATCAATGCATTTTTTTAGTGCAAAGTGGTAACATCTTGGTGCCATGTTGCAGATTGTCATCCGTGGTGAACTAGTCATGCAGAAGCCATGGCAATAGCACACAGGGGTAATGCAACCGTGTGTGGATTGTGACACTTGAGATGGGTGTCATGATGATGGTTATACTGCGAACGGCTAGGAGGTAAATGCATATTCAACTAATCGAGCTTTTTTGATCGTAACTTGAATTCAAGCGCTGGCTGTTTAGCAGGAATGATAGTTGCAACGCCGGGTGATGTGCTTTGAGGCAGCTTTACAAGAGGAGTACCTCCGCCGGAGGAAGATGAACACGTACGAGGCTGATGTGCACAGCTCCTGAGTGCTATTGAATGTCCTGTTGTCCAACCTTCGACTTGTCTCTGCGATCGGGTTTTGGAGTAGATGCATGTGCTGTTGCTACCACTGCTACCTTTGTTACTTTTGAGATCCTGAGTGTGCAGGAGCGCCGGAAAGAAGGGCGGACCATCCACACAAAGGCATCGCGCACTGCGCTAGTCGTTGCCTCCTTGAGCCTGTCTGGATCCCAGCTTGCCTCCCTTCACCTTGGTTCTGAGAGCCCATTGAGGTGTAGTTTGAACTCCTTAATACGGGGTCATATAGGGCATTACATAGGTCACCATTATTGGGGTTACTAAGGGAGATTTTTGGAGTTTAGATTATAGACTAGCTCCTTAATGCCACCAAGGATATTTGGTCTCATGGCCATTGTCCTCCCGAACTGGCGCTCCAGCTGGGTTCCATGCTTAGCATGTTGAAGATGGCAAGTTCCTTAGCTGATTCTATGTAGCTTCATGCGGTCAGTGTATATCCTAATGGAGTATACACTGTGTATGTGTCCTTCAGCAATTCGTTGACCTCACTATGACAGTGAACCATGATTTTAGGCCAAAAGCATCTGTAAGCTTACCCAGTTGCGGAGCACGTATTCTTCGCTTTTTGGCGACATGTTCTTTGTGCAAGTGTCTGCATGGAGCCTTGGGGAGTACTGGTTTGAAAAAGAAATAGTTGGGCATTACCTTGCTACCTACCCGAGCCGACCAGAACAACCTTTTGATGTTTGCAGCGGAGAAGTCTGAAAATTTCCTAGCAGTGCGTCTCCCAGGTCGGCCTGATTGGATACGGTACCCGAAGGCACAGATGCACCAAGTTTATAGCATTCAGCATTCGGAAGTGGTGAGGAACTGGGGGCTGCTCTATGTCCAAGGGCGACAGTGTGAGCCTTAGCTTGCGTGAGCATTGCCTGTGCTGATAGCATGCTGGAGCAAAGCTGCCGCCAGTACAACTTTCCACCACGACATGTACGACAAAAACTGCTCCTTGGAATGCAGTGCTCGCGGGGGAGCATTGGTAACCTCTTGGTCCTTCTGACTGCAGGCAAGTGGTATGGTCATCTGATGCTGGGCAACTCTTGTCTTTCACCAATCTGCAGATGGTGCGCCCCCGAGCCTTCACCTTGCCGGAAGTGTCAGGTTAATGATACCTGGGCTGATTGGTACCCTTAGTCTGGCAACAGCTCGAGTTATCCCACTTGTTACCCCCCTTTTAACTGCCAATGGACCTCCAAGCGGAGATGCAGGTATTTGCTGAAATGCAACGTTTACTTCGAGCTGTGCATGTACAGCTACTGCAACTTGGCCAGCATGTTCCGGCACGAGCAAGAGCATACATGTCAGTCAGGAATTACACCCCCATACCAGCCCCAACCTTTGTACCCTTGTATAGCCCCTGCATTTTCACCTTTGCATCATCAACAAAGCTACATAACACCTATGTATCCCGTAAGCGCTGCATGGTGTCCCCATGAGAATCTTAAGGTTCCACAAGTATTGTGAAAGCCAGGTGCTGCTCTGACCATCATCTTCGGAACATTGGTGCAGATGCAGAACACTCAGAAGAGCTGTGATTGACGGGTTTAGAGTTTAGTTAGGGTTAAGGTTTAGGGTTTAGGGTTTAGGGCCTGCAATCATTTGGGAGCTCTCGAAATCACGGGATGAGGGGTCTTACATGGGGGATTCCCTTGGATTCCCTGCGTTTTGACACCTACCTAACAGTCTACAACATTCGGCTGGCCAGGTGGCCAACGAGAAGCCCTGAACCTGAGGTTGTGCCTGTACTGGACTGTTGCTTTGTCGCCTCGGACGTTGCGATGGGCGGCAAACTGGTATCCAGCACCCCCCTCAGTCGCATGGGGGCGGTATTGAGAGAAAATGGGCTCCTCGGGATGGCATGGGGCGCATTCGCCGCTTTCGGCCACGCAAATGCTTAGATTGCTGCGCTGCTCATCATCTCCGGCACAGTCTTCTGGGTGATCATGACGGAGGCAGTTCAAAGACTTTCGTTGAGTCCAAAGATGCCATGTTTGTGCAGGGCCTTTTCGACCAGCTGAACGAAGAGTCCTGGTATCCTGTTCCACCACCTGGGCCTGGCGCTTGCAATGAGCGGTTCTTCCAAATAGCCAAGTAGCGCACGCTATGCCATAATCCTTGTTTTCGAAACTCCTCAAAAGTTTTCCTTCGTCGTAGGAAGCTCCCCATATCATGGGAAATGGCCTTGCGCATTGCCACGCAGAGGCTGTCCTTCATGCTCTCCTGCGCCAACTGTGTGGGTATTCTTGTACGGCCCATACCTGGAGTTGTCAAAATCATGGTCTCCTTTGGGCACTCTAAACCTTAGGGGCTCGTGTTGTTTTTTGGAACCCTGAAAGGGACCGCAATTTTGACAACCTGCCAATCTGACTGAGTTTTTCCATTCCGTTCCCTTGATTTTACGTGAGATGATGTCCAGGTCAATTCTTACATGGCGTACACGCTGCATTACATGTGGCCAGAGGCCGCGAACCTGTCAATGCGTTGCTTGCCCGGAGCAGATACATAGGTCCCTCCCTAGGCCTCAGCCCTAGCCCTGAAACCCCTGAAGCCTTAAACCGTGACCTCTAAACCCTAAACCCTAAATCACCCCAGCCAGGTAGATCCAGACGATCCGATGCAGTTCGACTCTGGATCAGAGGGGTCTGGCGAGGACACCTTGCTTGGTTGCAGAGTCAGGTATGGATTTATTGGAGACAATTAGGGATTTTTTTATATGTGGCTTGCTTAGGGATTTTATGGATTATGTAGGGGCTAGATAGGGTTTATTTATATTTTGAGAGCAGGGCTAAAGACTGAAGGTTTAGGGCTTCAGGCTTAGGACCTAGGGTTCAGGGCTGAGGGTTAAGGGGCTTTGGGTTTAGGGCTGAGGCTCCAGGACTCAGGATTTAAATTCAGGGCTGAGGGTTAAGCAAAATTATGTTCCTGCAAGGTGTTTCCTACAATTTAATTTTGCTAAGTTCAAGGGATGTGATACACTGTGATAGAGTGGTTTCCATTTTCCATTCTCCCTTTATGGCTCTACATAACCCCAAATGACCCTTCAGCAACCCTGTGCTCCATCTTCGCTTTGTCGTTCATGCAGCATCTGCTCCTGAGATTACAGGGGTTACCCTGTTTGGAGAAGCTCCGCATCTCAATTCCAAAATCCCAATCCCAATCTAGCTGTACACTTTTAACACTGTTCTGAATTCTCTCTTCCAGCCTTCAATGAAAACTGGTAGGAACACGTTTGAGTTGTCACCAAGCTAGATACGATAGTCCATGATAGGCACCATTATGAAATTTCCTGGTGTTTGACATGTTCTTGCCCTTTGGCGATTGCTGCCTTGCTTATCCACAGCTTGAGAGGTCCTAGACCTGAACACGAGCTGCCTTCCCCAATCGATTGAACTGCGTTGTATTTCAGAATTTCACTGTAAGCCTTAAACCTTGATGTAATCCTCCAAATCCAAAACCTCAAAGACTAAGCCCAAAACCTCCACACCCAAAATCCTAAACCTAAACCGTTCCTGCACCCTTAACCCTTAACCCTCATAAATCCTGAGCCCTAGCTATCAACCAAAACCCTAAGCCTTCAGGAGCTTGACAGTGATGATGAGAAGAAGAAGGCCGGCGGATGCTTCCTAGTCATGGGCTGATGTCATGTTCAAGGGTTTGAGGATGTAGAGTTTTAGGGGGTTTAGGGCCTGGAGTTTTAGGGCTTTAGGATGTAGAATTTTAGGGTTAGGGCTTTGGATTTTTTTGGCTTGCAGTTCAAGAGCTTTCGGGTTTGGTTTACGGATTCGCTTGGGGCTGAGAGTGCGGAAGTCGAAGGGTTTCAGGGATCATTGGTCTCCGGGAGGCGATCTTTTTTTTGAATGTAGTTATGTTAAAATTTCCTCCACCTTTACATTCTGTCTGTTGAGGCCGGGTTCTTGCACATGGTCCTGTCTCATAAAAACTTTTGTTCGGTGCCCATGCTTTACCCTCAAAGGTGTTCTTCTCGGACGGCACCTGCGGTTGCGGTACCTCTGTGCGGTGTTTGTACAGAGTCAGTTGAAAAAAGGGTCAGACATCTCTTTGTGCGTAGCCTGGGTCAACCTATTCGTGAGAGGCGACAGCTGACAGTTTCTGTCAACTACCAACATGCTGCACATCAGGTGGAGGACAAGTCCTTCTGATATATGCATATATATATATGTATCTTATGTGAGGATGCCTAGATGTCACGCACTTGGCTCATGATCGTTCTTGCGCTTTCCAGTCCTAATTTGCGCGCTGCGGAGCTGTGCAAGCTGCATTTTGACATCATGACTCACGTGAGTTTGGCATTTTTTTAGGCTTTTGAACGACAAGGACGCCTTTGCTTCTATTGGTTACAAATGCAGGTGTATCCAGGAAACGAGGGGCCCAAAAAGGCACGCTCCAAACGTGGGAGTTCGTGGAAGAAGCTTCTACGCGTACTCCTCCTATCCCTCCTTAGTTTTTGCGCTCGCGTTGGATCGTTGAGTCCTGAGTCCGCTGACGCGCGTAAATAGATACAGGATGGACATCGGATTTCTGCCGGAGGGGCTTGCATTGGAAAACACAAGCACGCTCACCAAAAGCAAGGTATTCCATTTTTATGGCTATGCAGTTAAGGCTTGATTGCTAGGGATTCCTTGAAGGCGGCGTTCCAGCTGACTTTGCGTTGTTGTTGAAAAGATGTTGCCCGGCAGTTTGCTGGAAGAAGTTTGTGGTTTAGGGTCTCAGATTTGATTGCAGCTGACTTTGTGTCTATCTTTGGACAAGGCATTCTTGCCTGGCATTTTGTTAGCCACAGCTGTTTCAAGGGTTCAAGGTTTTTCAAGATTCCCGGACGGCCTCGGTAATTCGCACTGCAGTGTTTGAGGAGGTATAAAAGGCGCTGGCATTTGGCATATCCACATCTGAGTTCCTAAACACCAGACCCTGATGCTCCTTATGTATCCTTGGAGTCGCTAAAGTAGAAAAGTAGACCTGTTATGAGGAACCCTAAACCCTAAACCCCTGAGGAATTATCACCTGCAAGCTTGCCAGGCTGTGAACGCCAACTACGGGGATTATGGTGACCAGTCGTACGGCTACGGCTACGGCGCAGGTGGCGGAGGCGGGATTCCCAAAAGATTCCATACATACTACAGGTCCCTGACTTCTAGACTTAAGGGGTTTCCAAATTTTGGGGGAATCTCATGGAGTCCTTAAAATGTGGATGATAGTAATTATATTGTAGACGCTGCTAGTGTATGGGAACCCTCAGATGTATGTAAGTACAGCGTATTCACATACTGCAAACATTGCTTTTGCGCATCTTGAGCTCTGGACCCTGAACTTGCCTAAACCCTGCACCCTAAACCCTAAACTCCAAACCCTAAAATCCTGAACCCTAAAATCCTAAACCCTAAACCCTAAACTCTCAACCCTTAACCCCGCAGAAGTCATTTGGGCAGACCACCAGGTGAAGCTGTTCCAGCTCCGGCACCAGTTGATAGTTGCGGCCACAGAATACAGCAGGGATGGTGGGCTACAAAAGCCATGATCTTTGAGTCCCCTAAACGGGGATTTCCAAAAATCGAGGCTTCTCTTTGGGAGCTAGACAAGGTATCATAGCCTTTGGGACCGGAATTGGGGCCCGCCATTTCTGGAAAATCTCCCCATACGGCTTTGTCCCCTACAAGTTTCAGGGCACATAAATACAAGCTAGAATCTCGATAGCCCTGGAATGTACCAGTTTCTGTGAGCATCCATACTGGGCGAATGCTCGTTTGTGTGAGGTGCCCAGTATGTGTGGGGCCTCAGCTGCTGGCTGTTCTTGTTTTGGATGTGAGCTGTCATTCTGAAATGCATTTCAGCTATAGTCTAAACTCCTATATCCCTCTAAATAGCCCCTATAGTAGTTCCCTATATAATCCCCTATATACCGCCTCTTGAGGAGTTCAGACTATGTAGCTCATGTGGGGCAACAGGCTCAACCAGCCCAGACGCCTCCTCCAGCAGTGCCCGAGCGTGGAGCCCTCGGCTACGGATTTGCTGCAGACGAGTGCAGATGTGTGCGCAGTACCTGGAGGCTGGTACAGGTTGACAGACTGCATGTTTCTTCCAAAGCCTCATATATCCCTATATAGCCGCTATCTAACGCCTTCAAAGGGACCAAGGAATTTATCCTGACGCAATTTAGGGATCAAGCAGGTGCGTACACAGCTAGGACGCCATGGCGGTTGGCAAGAACAAGCGCCTTACAAAAGGCGGCAAGAAGGGTGGCAAGAAGAAAGCGGGCGATCCTTTCCTGAGGAAGGAATGGTATGACATCAAAGCAGCTTGGCCTTCATAGGGTTTTAGGGTTTAGGGTTGTTTTGGCCTTCATAAAGTAGTTCCCACATTGTAGGTATATAGTGCCCTGACCTGCCGGGTGCGGGAGAGAGAGCGGGTTAGACAATTTTGGGTATATGGTGAATGATAGGGTTTCCTGATTTTAGAAGCTTAGTTTATGTTCCTTAACAGCTACTCTGTGAATTCGTATGTACTGTTTTCAAGAATCCGCTCTCTTTTAGAGAGGGGGTTCTAGTATTTGCAGGTATCGCAGTGGGACCCCTGTCTTTGGAAACGCATGAGTGCAAACTTGCTTGGAGGCTCATTGTAACAATCATTGTTTTTGTAAGTCCTAGACACTGGAACCTCTCAACGCTAAATTCAAACGCTAAACCCGAAACCGGGCCGTTTCCAAGCAAAGGAGCACCTTTCCAGAGTCTTAGCACTAAGCTTACGGGTTGCTAGTAGGAAATGCAGGAATGGATCCCTACAGTAGCTTGAATCTGAACCCCAATAGGAGATTAGTTTCCCTCGTATTTTTCCACTCCTCCATTCCCCACTGAGATCCGGCAAGTAAACCCGAAACCCTGAACCCTACACGTCTCTACGTATATCCCTATAAACCTTCAGTTATCAGTTTATTCTCCATTGTCTTTTCAATTTCATTCTGCATTCTTGGTTTGAAGCTCTTATAGGTCTCCTCGAGAGTTGATTGGATTTTTCTTATGCGATGGATGGAAAATTCTCTCAGGATCTTAAGAGAATTGCAGGGTTATGCAGGTTGCTGACATTAGTATGCACAATGTCACATTGGCCATTTTTGCCGTTTGCAGCGTGCAGTTCTTGCGTTTGTCACTTGCGAGGCCCCCAGCATGTTCAGTGTGCGGCAGTGTGGCAAGACTTTGGTCTCTCGGACGCAGGGTACCAAAATTGCCACGGAAGAGCTCAAGGGCCGTGTGCTAGAGGTGAACTTGGCCGATCTCAACAACGATGAGGATCAGGCGTCCAAGAAGATCCGCCTTTGCATCGAAGAGGTTCAGGGCCGCAGCTGCCTTACAGACTTTCACGGCATGACCTTGACCCGGGACAAGATTTGCTCCCTGATCAAGAAGTGGCAAACCCTCATAGAGGCCCAGGTGGATGTCAAGACCACTGATGGTTATGTTGTCCGCATGTTCTGTATTGCCTTCACCAAGCGCCGGCCAGAGCAGGTTAAGGCCAACTGCTATGCGCAGTCTGCCCAGATTCGCAAGATCCGTCGCAAGATGGTGGAGATCATGACGCAGGAGGCAAGCAAGGTGCAGCTGCGGGAGCTTGTGAAGAAACTCATTCCTGAGTCCATCGGTAAGGAGATCGAGAAGCAGACCCAGGGCATCTTCCCGCTGAAGGACTGCCTCATCCGCAAGGTGAAGCTCATGAAGAAGCCAAAGTTCGATATCACAAAGCTCATGGAGCTGCACGGAGACGGTGGTGATGATATGGGTGTTGAGATGGTGCGCCCAGAGAATGAGGAAGCCATGAACACCCTGTCAGCTGATGTGGCCGCCGCTGAGGATGATTGAGCCGCTTCTTAAAGTAGAAGATTACAGGTAGGACACAACCTAGTTGGCCTGTACGCTGCCCAGCAAAATCACAGCCTCCAGCTTCTGATGTGGGAGATTTCCATTGATTACAGTCACTTCGGTGTAGGCATGTGTCCGCAATTCAAGGATCCAAATGTTTCGTGAGCATCCAGGGAACCAGGCAACATTACTGTGGCACAAGCCCAACTGCACAGGCTTGGCAGAATCTCGTGCAGTGGCATGGCTGCGCTCTCTGAAGTATTACTGGTGTTGTTTGTAGTGTTCGCACCAATCCTCCAAGGATTAGGCGTGCGTCTGCTAGCAACAAGAGGGTTTAGGGTTTAGGG